TCACTTTCCTTCAATAAATCTAGTTTGTGGGCATTGTGGGTTTTTCCTTCCATGTATTATGTGTTGTACTGTATAATATATTTGAACTGGAATACCAAACATAAGCGGTAATGAAATATGACTGACAATATACATATACAGAGTGAAGTAAGTATGTATGCAGCTTACATATACAGAACCAGAAAAAGTTACAGATAATTTCCTGTTAAATCTCAGAGGGAATCCTTTTCTATTCACTTCTGCATAATATACGTAAGGTGGAAATCTCCACGTGAAATCCCACTCAGGTTTGCAATACAACAATCAACAAGCTGAAGTCTAGGAGTTTGTACCTTGCAATACGAGTTCCTTGCCAGTCTCTCTGATTAAAAGAAAGAAATGGGATATGCAATACTCTGTTAGGCCTATACCCTCGTCTAATCTATTGCCAGGCCTATATGTCTATTTGATCTATTTNTACATACACATGTGTGTGTGTGTGTGTGTGTGTGTGTGTGTGTGTGTGTGTGTGTGTGTGTGTGTGTGTGTGATGCATATAGGTTTAGCTTTATTATATATCAGCTCAATACTAAGTGTAGAAGCATGTCGCTCATAGCAGGATGATTTATTGTAACATCTCTGAAATATTGAATCTTCCTTTATAGATATAAAGAATAAGATACCTCAAAGATGAGTAGTGGAAAGCAACGCCCAAGCATCTTGGACAAGTCACTGAGTCGTGGCAAGTCTGAAGTCAGCCTTACAGCTTATGCATTGCTATTCTCTGAGATGGTGCAGTATTCACATAATCGTGTCACAAGCGTCAATGAATTACACAATAAGTTAGTATCTGGTTTTCTTCAGTTTTTGTTCAATTTACAATTTGTGTAATAAAAAGATATAATCATCTCATTTTGTATTATATTGGATTATTTAACATTATCTTTTTACCTTTAAATTTGTTTAAGTTATTGCTGAAAATATTTGATGGAATGTAACTTTATTCAAGTTACTTGTATAGTGAATTTACTTTGAAGCTTTTAAAATACAAAAGATTGTAGACTTCTCTCTTTCCTCATTCTTTCTCCCCTTGTTTTGCTCCTTCCTTCCATTCCCCTTCCTCCCCCACTCCCTCTTCCCCACCTGTTCCATGCTATGTTGCCAGTAATAGTGAATATTTCAATGCATTCTAACGTATTTCAGATTATCGGAATTGGGCCAGAGTGTTGGGGTAAGGATGGTTGAGCTACTGTTCGTAAGAGACAGGAACTACAAGCGTGAGACTAAACTATTGAATATTCTCCTCTTTGTAAAAGGAACACTTTGGAAGGTAAATATGTGCAGTTTGAAGAAGGAAAATGGAAATGGGATTTATTTGAACTGAAGAAGTATTTACCAAAGTAATATACACTAGCTTATATATATTATATATATAATATATATATATATATATATATTATATATATAATATATATATATATATATATAAAATGTTTTTATCCCCCCCCTTGATTAATATCTTAAAATGTTATGTTATTGTTTTTACTTTTTTATGAGCATTTTCTTTTTCTGTTAATGCAGTTATTATACTTGTTATACCTTAAACAAGGGTACTAAATCTCTGGATAACTGATGATTATCTATATATTTACAGTCTCTCTTTGGGAAAGAAGCAGACAAACTTGATAGAGCAACAGATGATGAGAGAATTTATTACTTAATTGAGAAGGAGCCACTGGTCAACAGGTTTATATCAGTGCCACGGGATAAGAGCTCTATCAACTGCGCAGCTTTTATTGCTGGAATTATTGAGGCTGTACTCAATTCAACAGGATTTGTGAGTTGCTTTTATTTGTTTGAGAATTACTTTCAAAGATTTATTAGATGCATTTAAAGTTTGGTATTTAAGTAATACATCATTTTATTTTCTGATTATTGACAAAAGTATGGTAATTATCAATTAATTTATGGATAGAAATTATGCTGTTTGTTTCAGTACTACAAGTCATTTGTTACTACTATGAATAATTATGTTTCTAACTTCTTTAGAAATTATTTTGATGATTATTAGTTGTATGCTGACTGTAAGAAAGTGTACATTTGTCACTTTGCTTTCTGACTGTCTTTTTATATATTGTGTATGGATACTGCAGGAAACTCAAGAATGTAAGATATTTGAAAGATCATATTCATAAAGAAATACAATTAGAATTGCAATGTATTATAAATACTCTGACCTGTTTTTTTTTTTTTTTTTTTTTTTTTTTTTTTTTTTTTTTTTTTTTTTTTTTTTTTTTTTTTTTTCAGCCTGCCAAAGTGACTGCTCTTTGGCACAAAGGAACCACATTCATGATCAAGTTTGATGATGCAGTTTTGACACGTGACAAACAGCTGGAGGGACGGTGATTCTATCCATTATTGGAATGGACGATAGATGCTTATATAGTATATGTTTAATTGTACAGTTTAAACTATGTATGGATGGGTCCAGTGTTGATAATGAAACATGTTCTCTTGATAATCTCCTCCTTATTTTTGCCTTCATTTTTCACAATGTTCATAGGATTCCATGAACTTTTTTTATATATTGTGAATATTGAAGAATCATAACATTGTAATAAGGGAAATAAAAAAAAACACTTCTGATCTTTATTGCACCAGCGTATATCTGTGGAAGTAAGTGTATTGTAGAGTGAAAGAGATTAAAAATTTTATGATTTAAGAACTTAAAATATGTAATTTTTTGTTGTTAAAATATTCTCTCTGTCTGTTTGTTGTTTGCAATACTGTTTGGTAGCCTTTGAGAGGAAGAGATAGTTTTTCCATCTTAGGAATATTACATTTCTATATGTGTATATATAGGAAGATTTGGTATCAGAAATAACATGTTGTATTATAGAATAGTTAAGTATCTACGATTTTGTTAAAATGAATAAAAAATAAATAAATGTATATCATATTTTTTGAGAGATACCCTTTTATCCTACTGTAACCTTTTGAATTTATTTTAAAAATAGGTCAGCACACTGGAAGGTAAGCTATTTTTATTTGTAAAGTATCAAGAAAAGAAATGTGTAGCTTTTTCAAAGGATAAAGAAATGAATGCATGATAAAATTTATATTATATTCGATAACTCATACAAGCAACACACATCAAGAGGATATATGTATGCCAGGCATTGTCATAATTAAACACACCAAACACACAGGTTCATTATCATTAGAAATGTAAATAATCTGATACACATTCATATATCAAAGTATCACCAAACACTAATGAAAAAATCTAGTCTTTGACACATCTTAAAAATCAATATAATCAGTCATTATGAAATATTGTTACAAAAATATAATCCATCAAAACTGGCAGTATCTTCGTCTAAAAGGCTTCATCACTGTTATCTTCTGATGCCGATAGTGGAGAGACTCTCCCACTTCCCTTAACGTTTGTCCACACATTTAAATTGCTGACTCTAGATCCTGAGTGGGCTGACTTTGGTCTTGCTGAGGCGGGACGAGCAGAGGTTGGTCTTCCTGAGAGGGTTGCCACAGATGTCTGATAACTGCTGAATGACTTGGACAGACCTTCTGCTGATAATACATTTGACGAAGACGGGCCTGCATTTGATGTTAGCGATGGATACTCGGATCCCTTGTTTCCAACAACAGATGAAAGAGTGAGGCTGTCTTCACTTCCAGACTCTTCCAGGAAGGAGTCATCTGAACTAGACTCGTCATTGCCTCCTGTCATGCTCCCAAATACACGTCGGTCTGTAAATATATGTATACATGTATAGAATTTTTTTTTTTTTTTTTTTTGTGTGTGTGTGTGTGTGTGTGTGTCATGCTAAAAAACATACAAAACTTATATAATACGTGCATTATAGTAATCTGTTTTTGTTTAACTTTTCAACTTTTTAACTGCAAACATTCTTTACATGTGATGTGACAATTTTTCTGTTTTTGCGGGCTCCTGTGATTCCACTAAGCTTAAAAGACTCTGGGATCTCATTCAGGTCCATGATTATTACTATTTTGGCCAGGCCTAGCAAAGACATCCTTAGAACATACTTTGTCCAGATTCTGCCTTTTTTCAATCAGAGATGATCTCTAGTTATGATAAACTCAGAAGCTTAATTGAGAATTATTATGTAGTTACAACACCACTGAAAATATATTAAAGCCAGTATTGGCATGTAACTGTAGGAGTGTAACTGCAATGGCAAACAGGAAGCTAAGCAACAAGAGGTGGCTCCAGCAGTAAGCCGGAGTCTGGCCAGGGGGAAACAGGATTTTGCCTGTAGTTCAGGTGTGTACTAACCTGGTACTGAGAAATCTACTGTTCATCATTATGGTACTGATGTGAGGGCACAATGATCTGTTTATTTCTGTCAGTAGATAGAGTCTGCAGCTGTTATCAGTTCTAGTTTCAGTGTGCAATGTTTGCCAGCTAATCAATTATTGTGTGTCATACTTTGCTTTGGATATTCCTTGAATTTATAGTGGAAGTACTTCATATAAATTACAATTTCTCTAAGCTAAATCTAAATACAGAGGAAGGAAGAATCATGGTGTTGTATCCCCAAAGGGGGTGTATTTGGTATAGGTTAGCTACAGTTGCACAAGTTCTCACTCCCTTGCAATGCTGATTTACTCATATATTTTTCTCTGACTCTTAACCCAGTGCTTCCAAGAAAATGTAGTGGTGTGAAATGTATTTACACAGTTGGCTCCACAAATGCTCAGCCATGAAGTAGTCAATTAGCAGACCTCATGACCTCACCTGATTTCCCCTTCCCATGAGTTTTCAGCAATTTTTTTTTTTTTTAACTAATGCTATTAATAGCAATGCCCATATTGTTATTAAAGACATTACAATTATAATGTTAATAACATTACAAATGGTAATACAAGATAAAAGAAAATATTTAAAAAACAAGGAAAAGGGTAAACAGGTGAGATAGGTAGTACTAGTATCTGACTCCTTGGTGACTAAGGAGCTATCCTTGAGTAAAGACAATAAATATACTAAATTCACAGTGGCCATGGCATGTACAAACATGCTATGTGTGGAATTAACCTCTTGGATCCAGGTGCTTTGCATACCAAAATCCGGATATTAAGCTTTCTTGAGCAGCCACTCTGACAGGTGTATGGCTTGTAGGCCAGGCACACACAAACACTTATGTGTGGTGACAAGACTCCATGTCATTTGATATGCTGTATCTAGATGCTAATAGATTGTTTTCTTTGTACAGACTCTATATCATCTCTAGGTAGTCCATATCTCATTGCAATAACATTGTTCTTTGTATAATCTTTTTTCATAGTATATAAATTTTTTGTAATACAACCTGTGCTGCTGGTCACGGCAAGCAGGAATAGAATCCTGAGTATGGAAATAGCATCCTCTTCCAGTCATGGAAATATTGCAAGATCCCCTTCCTAAAGACCCATTGAGTCTAATCACCCTCCAAGAGCTTAGTGCATTCATGGCTAATCATTCCCATCACCCTTACCTTCAGCCAAAATTCTCATAATGGCCTGTCTCTGTCATCCGCCTTTCAGCCAATTTTTTCCATGACAGCATGTTCACATCACCCACCCCTCAAGCCAATTTTTTTTTTCATGACATGATACTCATGTCATCAGGATTGTAGGGATTAAGTGAATTATATTTTTATCTTTAAATTATTTTGCATGTTGTATCCCCTCTTGTTATCCATTATCACTTTTCTTCCCAACATTATTTTACAGTTATCATAGAAAAACACTTTCAGAGAAGCCATGTAATGAAATGTCAAATTAATGTACTTTTTTATATTGAAATTTCAGGGCAACTATATTTACTACTTTCCTAAGTTTATCTAACAAATATTTGCATACTTACAAGATCTAACAGGTGGGCTATTCACCTCTGATTCAGCAGTGGCTAGAGCAGCCAGTGCACCCTCTCTTTCTCTCTTAGCAGCTAAGGCCTAATGGGGAGAGAAAAATAAATTAGTTCACAAAGAAATATGTTAGTTTTTATATAAACAAGTACCTCGTCTTTTCACATACATTTTGCTTAGCTTTTATATTGTATTAAGAACAAGAACATCATTTCTTCTTACCAGGGTATGTTTTAATTGCTGCTGTTGTTGCTCTTCTAGTTCTTGCAACTGCCGTTCCAAATACATTAAATTTTTATGCTTTGTGATATAGTCGTCCCATACTTGCCGTAACTCATTCTCTTCTTGTTCAAACTCTGTTTGCCAAGTTGGTCTATAATGAAGAAACAAACATTAAACTTCCAAGAAAATTGTGAAAAACATTATATACACTACAAATTTCTGAAGTGCCTACCCATAAAAACCTATTTCAGAAAAACATTAAAGTTTAAACAATGATAAAGATAACTGATAAACCCAAACTGAATAAAAAATTAATAAAAATGGCAGGATTTGATTCAATTAATTCTGTTATCCCAAAATTCAAATATTCTTACTTGATCTTTTGCAGTGCCCCTAGTCTTTTCTTATTTCTAGCTAATGATTCCCTCTTCTTCTGTATTTTCTCTTCAATCTGAAAATCCAAATTACAATATTAATTACATTTACCACACATTAGTAAATATCAACAGAAAACTTTAAAGATATATTTTGTATAGATAGTGTATTTGATTCAAAGTAAGAATCCTGGCACTCTTATTTAATGTCAAAGCCTATCTGTTCTCAAGAAAAACAAAATCTTATTACACTGAGCCAATTTTCTTTAAAAAATGCTCCAAAATCATGCAGACCATAGCTTCAATACCCACCTTCACATCTCATACCCATAACATTTACCTCTGTTCCCTGATGAACTAGCTGTTCAGTGGATTCCTTGATCTGTGCAATAGCAGCAGAAAATGAATGCAGAGCTGCAACAACTGTCGCTTCCATGCAATCTACATCTATAGCCTGCTCCAACACTGCTTGCCTTTTATTCTGAAGGAAACGGTAACTTTTATGTCTTTGCCAGACAAGAATAAAATAATGATAATAATAAAGGCTCTCACATTCATCAGCTACATAAAAAATAATGAGGAAAAAAGCTAATGCACTAGGAACAATTTTCAATAAAGAAAAATGTCTTCACACTGACCAGGAGCACAAGCACAAATAATAGTCATAATAGACATACATAAAAAAAAATCATGCTAAAATTTTATATAGTAATTTTGTTGCACAATTCTTGTATATCTTAAATATATACACAGAATAACAAGTTGCAGGATCTGAAATTAAGAGAGATTGTACATACATCTATCTATTTGTAAAAGTTGCCCACACTGTTTAAACATACAAAAGCTAAAAAGTTTGAACAAATCAGTTACAGTGTGATGTGGAGTATCCTGTATATAATTTTCAATTAAGTACTTCCAAGAATTTTCATATATAAAAGCTAATACAGCCTATTCTAAGGTAAAACAAATATAAAGAGTTTAATATTTACAGTACCATTTTCTTTTATCTTTTTATCACTGCACTATAAATATAT